ACAAGCTTTACCCATCTATACATCAAAGAAGTTGAGCTCCCAAATCCTAGGGTCACATCTGGCTCTGACGGTTTGTGAGCTGATGTCAGAGCCACAGGAGAAGGGAGGAAGATGTCTTGGTCCTGAGCTGATGCCAGTGAAGTCACCTAGTGGCTGCGCCTCCTTGGAAGAGACTGTGCCAAAGACAATTGCAGGGGGAGCAGGTGGCCAGTTAGATGGAGGCAGAGAGTCCAGGGACCTGGAGGCTAAGCTGGAGCCAGTGCAGATGGGATTGTGGGCAGTGCCCATACCCAGATTTTATGTCAGCTCAGCTGCAAGGCCAAGGATCCTGAAGATGGGCCAGCTTCTCCGCTTCCAGGCCTTCCAGTGAGCACTTTTTCAGGAGTTCAGCGTTGCTCCAGGCAACGGGCCTAACCTACCCCAAAGCCAAAGGGTGGCAATGACAGCGATGGCCTGCCCCTTTGGCTGGAAGGCTGAGGTAGTCAGGGAGAGATGAGGGACTTTCTGACCAGTCTTTGGCCACATTCTCAGAACAATGGATGGAGGGGTCCTAGTCCCAGACTCTGCCAGGCCAGCTTCCAGTCAAGGTCCGGCCTGGTCTGAGGAGAGCGGGTAAGGCCACGGAAAGGAAAGGACAGAGCCCGGAATCAGCCTCGATGGCCACAGCCCTCCAACCAGGACTTGATTTGTTTTTCAGGCTTTGGCTTAATCACCAGTTTCTGAGACAAGACTGAAGCGGAGAGGGGCGACATGGGGCAGGAAGGGAGTGCAGGATGGGGGGGAATTCTGAGGAAGGGGCTAGGCCCCCATCCTCACATCTGGATTGCTTCAGCTTTCCCTTACTAATAGGTACACATAGCCCCCCTGCTCCAGTGGGTGGGGTGAGAGCCCTCCCGCTGTCTTTATACAACTGCAAATCGAAACCAGGTCGGTTTTGAAAGGAGACCTAGATCTACTCTCCCTCTCCCCTCCCCCTCTTGTCTCCCGCCCCATCCCCTCGCCCTCCTCCCCACCCCCACAACCCAGGGAATCCGAGGAAGGTTTGAATCCAACCAGGCGAGGGAGAAGTTTAGGGGCACGCAGGAGCCGTACCAGAAGTGGGAAGAGCGGCCACGGCTGAACTTACCTGCCTCGAGTTCCTGAGGGTGCTCTGCGGGGCCGCAGAGGGGCTGAGGGAGAGCCGCTGGTTGCTGGCAGGGCAGGTAGGAGTCTCCGGGGTTCGCTGGCCCGGTGTAGGGGCAGGACAGGAGGTGGCCATACGGCCTGGAGTAAGACAAATCGGGGGAGGCTGCGGTTGTAGGGGACAGGCCAAGAGGGTAGGCAGCCACTACCGACGGGACGGGAGCAAGGTCTGGGAAGAGAGCTTTGGAGGCGTCCCGGCCCGCGAGCGGGCAGGGCAAAGAGGTCATTGTGGCCAGGGCCCGGGCTGAAGGGCCATGACCTGGCACGTAGTCCGCTCCCTCTGCCAACTCTCTTTTCCAAGCCAGACGGGCCCCCCAGCCAGCAGCACCCACACTTAAGATCCCAGGGAAAGTATCTCTTTGCGCTTCTTTCAGCGGAGAACTCGAGCCTGGGAAAGGGGTTCTGGGGGGTGCCCCTCATGGCTTTCCCCTCCCCCCAAATCCATGGGGACCCCCCTCCTCTCCATCGAGTTTGGTTCCAGGGACCCGACGGGGGCCCCGCCCTCTTAGAAGCCCCGGATTGGCTACCGCCCGCAGTGACCTCACGGAGACTTGGAGCCGGGCCCCGCCCCCCGGGGGCGTTCCGCGGTAAAGAAGTGGGAAATGGGAGCTGGCGGTGCGCACTCCCAGGTCGGTCTGTCTCGGAGTCTTCTCTAAGAGGTGCTGGGGTTGCAGGGCAGTTGGTGCACTCCGGGAACCGCGGTTATAATGGCAAAAATGCTAGAGAGGTGGTAAGCCTGGATGCCCAAGGTACGGGAAGCTGGGCAGTGGGCAGAGGCCCTGGGGCTGCGGGACGCAGGGAATCTGCATTCGCAGCCTCCAGATCTCGGGGGTCTGCAGGCCAAAAGCCGCCGTGGACCTGCAGGGGAGTCAAGTGCAGACCGCCAGCGCCAGCCGCTTAGTCAGTGCATCGGAATGCGTGGCTGCTGAGCACCGGCAGTTTGTTGGTAAACAGACGCCGGGGCTGGGAGGGTGCCGCCCGGCGCCCAGCCCGCCTCGCACGTGTGTGGCGCGCACGCCCCCGCGGGGCGCCCTCTGCCTGGCATGCCGCAACCCGCCGCTACTGTACCCCACTGTCCCCCATGCTGGCTTCCGCTTCCGGCAGGGACCCGGGTTTGGTGGTGACACCGCAGCTCCTCGCAGGCCCCCGAAGCTGCAGAAGGGATCCTCCCTCTGAGCTTTAGCCCATGCGGTGCCCAGCCTTTCCTGGCTCCATAGGAGGCTGAAGTGTTGCTTGAATCCGGACAAAATCTGGGAGTGGAGGATGAGTCCAGTTGGATGGCTTCTGGGAGGGCGCAGGAACTACTGCAGGCCGGTCTCCGTGGCGCATTTTCCAGGCTGTGTTCAAGACTTGCCTCTAAACATTAGTGTCCATGGCCTTGATGGACAGGTGTCTACATATATAAGCATTTATTGGCACGTGTACACAACTACACAGGGACTGCATTCAAATACAACATATATACTCACATATACCAATGTGCAGGTGCCTACACTGATGTTCACACTAGCATTCGTTCATTTATGGATCTGCAAACAGAGTTCAGGCTGTGATGTATATACACATCTATATACCTAAAGATGAATTAGCACTATCCCTGAATAAAAGCACTATCCAGTACTTGTCTCTTACATAGATTCGATATGCAAGTCAAATCACTGGTGTGTGTACTCAAAAATACAGAAGATCTAAGCATATAACATTTATACTTGTGTTCCTAACCCATGAGAAATACATGTCCACACACATCTAAGATGCCTCACATTAGGGGAGAGAGAGTTCCATCCCTAAACCCACCTGTCTTCATAAATTCCCCAGCACAAAAACCCACACACGTGTTCCCACTTTATATAACTTGGCAGGCATATTCATGTTTGTACACACATGCATGCTTTCACTGTTAGGGATCAGCGTGAAGGTAGCAGTCACAGATTTGGGAGATGGAAGAGCATGGTGATAAGAAAAAGAGATGAGGCGAGGTGGCTCAGGCTGGTAATCCCAGCATTTGGGGAGGCTGAGGCAGGCAGATCAGTTGAGCTCAGGAGTTTGAGACCAGCCTGGACAACATAGTGAGACCCATCTCTACAAAAAGTACAAAAATTAGCCAGTCAATGTGATGCATGCCTGTAGTCCCAGCTACTCAGGAGACTGAGGCAGGAGGATCACTTGAGCTCAGGAAGTCAAGGCAGCAGTGAGCTGAGATTGTGCCACTTCACTCCAGCCTGACTGACAGAGTGAGTCCCTGTCTCAAAAAAGGAGAAAGAAGAAAGAAAGAGGGGGAGGAGGAGAAAGAAAGAAGAAGAGGAGGAGGTGGAAGAGGAAGAAGGAGGAAGCCTAGAAGAATAGAACACACTGGGGAATTGCTGGGCTCAGGCCTCCTTAGAGAGACAAAATCAACCAAATGGGTGTGCAGGGGTGATTGAAGCTCACAGTCAGGAGTCCTGCAGGGAGGAAGGGCAAGTCTATTTCAAACTGGACTCCCCAGTGGAATAGATAGAGGTGAGTTTTTCCAAGGAGAGACTCCTCTAGCTTGGGGCTCTCCATCTTGAAGCCTTGGAGCTGGGAAGAAAAGGGCTCTGGCAGGAGAGCTTCCTTCTCCAGACAACTGGAAATCCCACTCCCCTCTCATCCAACAAGGTGTGGAGGGTTTGCTCAGTAGAGAAATGCTTATTCTTTTTTTTTTTTTTTTGAGACGGAGTTTCATGCTTGTCACCCAGGCTGGGGTGCAATGGTGTGATCTTGGCTCACTGCAACCTCTGCCTCCCGGGTTCAAGTGATTCTCCTACCTCAGCCTCCTGAGTAGCTGGGATTACAGGCATGCACCACCACGCCTGGCTAATTTTTGTGTTATTGGTAGAGTGGGGTTTCACCATGTTGACCAGGCTGGTCTCGACCTCCCGACCTCAGGTGATCCACCCACCTCAGCCTCCCAAAGTGCTGGGATTATAGGCGTGAGCCACCATGCCTGGCTGAGAAATGCTCATTGTATGTGGGACTACCTTTCTCCCTTTCTTCCTTGATTCTAGCCATGCCACCCTCTCCTTTGAGGTGGGGCTGTGAACCTGTGAGGATATGTCCTTCCAAACTTTCCTTTCTACCATCACCATTTTCCTCTAGAGGGAGGGAGGCAGCCTTACAGCAGTGCTGAGGAGAGGTTCCAGGGATGGCATCAAAGGTGTGCATCAAAGGAAGGGAACGTTTTTGGGGTGGGGTTGGCTGTGAGGGAGGGTTTCCTGAAGGAAGTGCTTTTGAGCTGGAATTGACAGGATGAGTGGAAAGATATTTCCTCTTAGAGCCATATGCACAGAATCGTTTCTTGTTGGACCTAAGAAGGAAGGGCAGGCATGGGTTTTCTGGCAGAGCTCTGCCACAGCTGACTTTGGGCATCCTCCAAAGCCAGGAGATCCCCAGCGAATACATGTCTTAAGTTCTAAAGCCCTCAGGGCTTCGCTGAACTCAGAGGATCTTCACCTCTACGAGACAGCAGGACATACTCTGCAGCCCTTTAGAATTTATCAAGCATCTACACACACACACACACACACACACACACGCGCATGCACGCACGCTCAAACCCCAGGTACTATTATCCCCATTTTACAAATGAAGAAACACCTCCTTCAAGGCTCCCTTCTCTCATATTCCAGAGGGTGTGGGGCTGGGGCACCTGCTTAGGATACCCTGGGGTCTCCTCAGATGCAGGATCCCCAGGGAGGGATCCTCTCCAATTGGAATTCCATCTCACCAACGTCAGGAAAGGTGGAGATGGTGAGGATGTGGGCTGGGAAGCACAGTAATCTCATATTGGATCACTAGGGAGAGAAAATGCTTGCTTAGGAAAAAAGTTGGACCAATACAGAGAAGATTAGCATGGCTCCTGTACCAGGACGTCACACAAATTTATGAAGCATTCCCTATATTTTTAAAAAATTTTAAACAGAGAGGGCTGACCAGGCACATTGGCTCACGCCTGTAATCCCAACACTTTGGGAGGCTGAGGGGGGCAGATCATGAGATCAAAGAATTGAGACCATCCTGGCAAACATGGTGAAATCCCATCTCTACTAAAAATGCAAAAATTAGCTGGGTGTGGTAGTGCGTGCCTGTAGTCCCAGCTACTTGGGAGGCTAAGGCAGGAGAATTGCTTGAACCCAGCAGGTGGAGGTTGCAGTGAGCCCAGATGGTGCCACTGCACTCGGGCCTCACAACAGAGCGATACTCTGTCTCAAAAAGAAAAAAAAAAAACAAGAGGGGAACGCCCTTGAGACGCCCACCTGAGGCCTGGGTTGGGTTCTGGTCCAATTCAGACATGAAGCTGCTGGTTGGGATATTTTGTGTCAGTCATTTGCCTTCTCTGAGACTGGTTTACCAGAAGGGATAAAAGAACTGAGCTGGACTAAGAACTCCAAGCCTTTGTCATTGCTTCATGACAAATTGCAAAAACTAAAATCCCAAACCATAATGACCAAGAAGAAGTGGGGAGGAGGAGGGATGGAAAGAAGGAAGAAAAAAAAAAAACAAAAAAAACCCTCTTTCCTGTCACTACCAATATCTCAGGCCCCTAGATCGTCACAAAAGCCAGAAGTGGCTCTCCCAAATCTCCCTCACAGATCCTCTCGCTTAGAGCCAGCAGACCGCTTGGAAAATTCCAGCACCCTGGCGATGTGGTGGAGCCAAACTGCGGGGCCCAGAGTTTGGGGTTGGGGGGATAAACTACTCCGCGGGGGTCTCGGGATTCCGAGGTGCGGGTATTGGACCTAATCCACTAGATGCACGGTTTGCTTACTCTTCTTGGGTTGCCAGGCAAACGCCATCGCACCCGCTCTGTTACTGATTCCTTACGCAGCATAAGCACCCACGGCAGTGGGATGCATTCCTTGCTTGATCACCCTGAGTTCCGACCCTCCCGGTAGCAGGAACTCCCTCCGAACTCATCCCCTTCCCTGGCGTCCAACGCGGGCACTCCTAACACTTGGTGAGTGCGCAGAGCTCTCCGCACTGTCGCTGGGCTGGGTAGGGTGCCTACTGCACGGCCCCAGGAGCAGAGGTCTGTGTCTGCGCCAAAGTGTGTAACCCCGAGCCTGCTCTCAGGGCAGCACCTGCGTGGATCTGCCCAGGGGAACAGAGATTCAACCGCGACCACAGTCCTCGGCAATCCACGGCCCTTCCGGGATTATGCGTGCCCTTTTTCCTCTATCCCACCCACCAGCCCCAAAACGAACTTTTAGTTTAGCGTTGCCATTCTCAGCGGATTTTACGTTTTATTTGGAAGCACCTTTCTCTCTTAGTAACTCAGGTTGGAGAAACTGGATAATTCGGTTTGGCGCCAGGAGAAAAGGAATCAGATCTTCACCCCAGCCTTCCTGAGCTTGGCCCTGCGTGCTGTGAATAGAGCCCCCGTATTCAGCGAGGGCCGGCGAAAGGGCAGTCTGGAGAGGTCTGCGTCCTCCACTCTGATTGGACCTTTCCTGAAATTTGGAATGATTGCGCCTCTTTTTCTCTTTCTGATCGAGCATTTAGTGCTGGTAAGCCGGGCAGCCGACCGGTTACTGAGGCTACCGCCAGCCCGGCCGTGAGTTTCCATTTGCGCTCACCCCCAAGCTCCCTGAGCGCTTTCTCAGGGATTGGAGTTCCCGTCTCATTTTCCAAATAACCCTGGAGAAGCTCCCAGAGGAGAAGGAGGGAAGAGGCCTTGGGGTCAGCACCACCTTGATCCCAGCACCTTGCGCTCGGCAGTGGGGCTCCCACGCCCGTCTCCCGCTCCGCCCTCGAAGACTCTCTCTCAGAGCCTTCTTCGCATTACTTGCAAATTTCAGCCTCTGCTCAGGAAGTCTTTTCTTTGAGATTGGCTGGGATGTTTTATGTATACACTAAACATGTTAAAAATAAAACCAGGAACAATTCTTGGACCTGGATATCCCCCCCACCACACACACACGCACACACACACAAACACACGGAGGGGGGGTGGAGAAAGAAAACGGTTAACAAAAAATGGGGCGATTTTGAGGGTGTCTTGGAACTACACTGCACCGCTGGGGAGCCACGCGACGCTGAACTTCGCTGGGTGCTGGAGGAGGAAATACCCCGGGACTGGGGACGCGTGGGCTGGGGGAAGCGTTAAGTTTCAGGCTCGGTGGCCCGGAGCTCTGTAGTTTTCCTTCGGGTGTCCCACCCCGGCCCTGGTGGACCCAAGGGAAGTGGCCGCACCGGCAGCTGGGCTGACACCACCAAGTGGCCTGCCAGGGCGCCCCGGGGGAACGGGGAACGTAGGGAGCCGGCTCAGAAGCCCTGAGGCCAACCCGGCTGCAATGAAATCGCCGGCCCGAACGAAGGCAGCTCCACCAGGCTCTTCAGACCTTCCCAGACCTAGCCATGGAAACTAGGCGTTTTGCCGACGTTCATCGCCGGGTACCGGGTGAAAGCGGGAGGTGGGAGTAGTGGGAGTTGGAAGGTTCCTCTAGCGGCAACATCAAAGACGATGCATGCACCGGCACACACAATATAACACACAGCGCGCACACGTACACACCACAAACACACATACACAGACGGCTACTTCCACAATAGCCTCAGCACATACTCCAGAGGCAGACACAGCCACATCACACATACACAGCACACACAGCATGCGGCCACCACACATCCACATACAACCCCCCCCCACACACACACACACAAACACTCATGCCTGCCCTCTGGACCCCGTGGAGTTGATGGAGGGTCTACAAGGGTGAGAGGTTATTGGTTTAAGTTTTTGACCAGTGACCCCCACCCAGACCAGACCCTTTGGAGGTCCAGACTGCTTTTCTTTCATAACAAAAAGTCTGGTGCCTAAATCCTGATTACAGCACCTCAGCCTGGAAGGAGACAGCCTTACCTCTACTGGTTTGGGCCTGGGAGAAGGAGGGCAATATCGCCTTGGGCAGGAGAGGAGAGTAGCCGCTTGGGCACACAGACACACCTTACCCCTTCCCTTCAACGTGATAAAAATTACCACAACTACAAAAAACCTCAAACTCAGCCTTTCCCTCTGTGTACCCCCTTGTTGGGCTCTTGGGCCCCCAGGCCTGGGGTGGGGGAGGGTAGACAGAAGTAAGGTGGAAGGTAACTCAGTCCCACCCTCTCCTCTCTCTCCCCAAACCTCCCCCTCACCTTGCCCAGCTGTGGGGGTGGGGTGGGAGTGGTTGGCGGAGATGAGGATCCTGGACCCACTCTCATCCATTGTCAGAGGGGGTGGTGCAACATGCACCTCCTCCAGCCTGGCTTCCACCCTCCGCTGTCAATCACCCTCATTAATTCTCTTTGGAAAACGATCTGGGCCCAGCTCTGTGGCTCACGCCTGTAATCCCAGCACTTTGGGAGGCTGAGGCGGGTGGATCACGAGATCAAGAGATCGAGACCATCCTGGTCAACATGGTGAAACCCCGTCTCTACTAAAAATACAAAAAAATTAGCTGGGCATGGTGGTACCTGCCTGTAGTCCCAGCTACTCAGGAGGCTGAGGCAGGAGAATTGCCTGAACCCAGGAGGCGGAGGTTGTGGTGAGCCGAGATTGTGCCATTGCACTCCAGCCTGGGTAACAAGAGGGAAACTCCGTCTCAGAAAAAAAAAAAAAGAAAAACGATCCCACAGTGGAAGTTCGACAACTGCTGCCTGGAAAAGGCTGGAAGACATGGTGAGGGGAAGGGAAATGGTCAGAGAAGTGGGGAGAGTGAGCGCCGGCTGCATGGGGTGAGGGCGGTGCCAGCTGGTTGGGGAACCCAGCCCCCAAAGACTTTTCATCTCTCAAGTCAGTTTTCCTCTCCCCTCCCCTGGAAGCCCCTCCCAGACTCTGAGCTGACTGTCACCTGTCCAGGCTGGACCTTGGGGCGAAATAGCTCTTTGAAGCCCAAATTCTGGCATAAGCCCCAAAACTAGTGAGCAAGGGAGCTCAGCCCCACACTCCCAACTACCAGTCAACCCAATGGGGCACTGCTGCCTCAGGTGCTTTCCACAGGAAAGGGAGGGAGGGCAGGGTAGTAGACCTCTGGTTATGTAGGCAAGAGGATCCAGATGAAGGCTCAATTCCTGGAGGCCCCTCTAAGGAACCTTGCAGAGCCTGTCCCAGAGCCTCTGAGGGAGACGCAGAGCAGTGGCGACCTGAGGGCTTGTGCCATGAGTAACACAATATTAATAATACTAGCAAACACTTAAGTGTTGTCTGTGCTCCAGCCCCTTTGCTAAGCCCTTACACCGTTCATTTTATTGAATCATCACAATAATTCTATGTGGTATTCTCTCTATATAAAAATATAAGACACCCTGGGCACAGTGGCTCATACCTGTAATCCCAGCACTTTGGGAGGCCAAGGTGGGCAGATCACCTGAGGGTTGGAAGTTCGAGACTTGCCTGACCTACATGGAGAAACCCCATCTCTACTAATGATACAAAAATTAGCCAGGCGTGATGGCACATGCCTGTAATCCCAGCTACACTGGAGGCTGAGGCACGAGGATCACTTGAACCTGAGAGGTGGAGGGAATGAAACTCCATTTCAAAAAAATAAAAAAGAATATAAAACATATTCTATCAATAGTACCCTCATTTCATAGATGAGAAAATTGAGGCACAGAAAGGTCAAATAACTTGCCTAAAAGCTGGAACTGGCCGGGCGCGGTGGCTCACCTCTGTAATCCCAGCATTTTGGGAGGCTGAGGCGGGTGGATCACCTGAGGTCAGGAGTTTGGGACCAGCCTGGACAACATGGTAAAACCCCAGTTCTACTAAATACAAAAAATTAGCCCAGTGTGGTGCCTCATGCCTATAATCCCAGCTACTTGGGAGGCTGAGGCAGAAGAATCGCTTGAACCTGGGAGGTGGATGTTGCAGTGAGCTAAGATTGTGCCATTGCACTCCAGCCTGGTTGACAAGAGTGAAAC